CCAAGACCGCTATCATAACACCATTCGGGCTGTTTGAGTTTGCGTACATGACCTTTGGGCTACGAAACGCTGCTCAAACCTTCCAGAGGCTCATTCATGAGGTTCTACGCGGCTTGGATTTCGTTTTTCCATACATGGATGACATTTGTGTAGCCTCTTCGTCTTCAAGCGAGCATTTGTCGCATCTGCGTCAGCTTTTTGAACGACTACAACAGCACAATTTGCAAATAAATGTATCCAAGTCAGTGTTTGGTAAGTCCGAAATTATATTTCTTGGGCACATCGTCTCGGAAAAAGGCATCAAACCTCTGCCACAACGCGTGGAGGCAATCCAACGCTGTAAAAGGCCGAATACGGTCAGTGAGCTCAAGCGATTTTTGGCCACAATCAATTTCTACCGCCGGTTTATACCGCATGCTATAGAAGCACAACTGCACTTACTTGCCATGTGTCCAGGCAATGTAAAAAATGATCGCACCCCGCTCAAATGGAATGAGGCTACCAGCGCAGCATTTGAGCAGTGTAAGATGCAGCTTGCGAACGCCGCCCTCCTGGCACATCCGGCAAGAAATGCAGAATTGTCCCTGTGGGTCGACGCATCTAACACTGCAGCCGGTGCAGTTCTCCACCAGGTAATCGACGGGAAGTTAGAACCTCTCGGCTATTTTTCAAAAAAATTTGACAAAACACAGGTACGTTACAGTACGTATGATAGAGAACTTACAGCAGTTTATTTAGCAGTTCGGCACTTTAAGTTTATGTTGGAAGGTCGTAACTGTCACATTTATACTGACCCCAAGCCGCTAACCTATGCTTTTCAGCAGAATTCAGAAAAGGCTTCCAACAGGCAAGCACGTCAACTCGACTACATATCCCAAATTACAACCGACATTCGCCATGTTAATGGGAAAAGTAATGTAACAGCTGACTTTCTATCAAGAGTAACAGCACTGGACGCAGCAGTAATAGACTACGATAAACTTGCTGATGGTCAACAAGTCGACGAAGAGCTTCAACACCTTCTGCGGAATAACAACAAAAGTAAGTCACTTCAGTTGAAATTATTTACTGTTCCAGGCAGCACCAAGCAGATATACTGCGATTATTCTACGGGCAGCATTCGGCCATTTATAACTACGAATTTTCGCAAAGACGTTTTGCAGTCGACGCATAACTTATGCCATCCAGGAAGACGC